AAACTTTTAATTCCTTTTTTCACCAAAATCAAGAAGTACAGCAACTCGAAGACGCTTCATGTCTTTACGGAAGAGCCTGTAAGTAAATCTTTAGGGTTTGATTCTAAAAAGGGGGTTAAGTGGGAAATCAGTTAGTTTTTTGTAACTATTAAGTATTGATTTGCACTGTGAATCTTCTAATTAGTATTCCAGTACTAAGCATTCACTTTAAGGACCAGATCCTCAGCTGGTGTAAATCATGGTAGCTCCGGTAAAGTTAGAGAAGCAACAGCAAATCACACCAGCTGAATATCTGATTCTAAATGATGGCTCTACAGTTCAGTCTAGGCTCTTTCAAGAACATAATGTGATTGTACAATCATACAAATATTTGGGGAATTAATTTAAATGCGGGTTACATTTGGGATTCCCATGCCATTAACTATGGCTGCAAACACTTACATATGTGCATGACATTAAATGTGTTTTTAAAGGGCTGCAGCATCAGGGTCTGTGTCCATAATATTGCAGGTTGTTGATAGCAATGTTTCTTCTAGAAAAATGTATTCCCTGCTCCATTTTCTTTTGGTAGCTGCAAGATTTACTATTTCTTTCCCATGGCATAACCACTATATACCTTCTGTGCTCATCTACCTCATTACTGGATGTGATTACAGTGGAAAAACTACCCTAAAAAAGAAAATAAATCCATTCTACTTTGTACTATTGCTTATCTTTTCTGAGCCATATACCTCAATGGTGGTCTGTTGTCCCTTGACCTTGCCCCTACAAAGAATGTGTGTTGTTTAGATACATTTTTGGTTTTGTCTGTATATGGATAGTTATTATACCTCATTTTCTGTGTATTGCCATGTGATCGTATTTTTGTTACATATGCGTGTATCATTATGCCTTGTAATTCACAAATGTGTTTGCTGCCATTGCTCCCCTCTCAAAATACTTTTTAAATATATGAACTTTCCATTAAGTAGCAAGGGTCTGACTGAAGGCAGGAAGGGTATGTCTTCTTGCAAAAATCCCCAATGACTGGCCTGGATCAGCTGACTTCAGCTTGTGGGTCTGTAGGGCTGTAAAATTACAGTATAGATATTCTGGCTCTGACTGGAGTTTGGGATTAGGTAACCTCTGGGACCAGAGTGAGTCCAAACATCTACACTGTAAGGGTATGTCTACACTATCTTGTTAATTCGAGCTAGGTAGGCAAATCAGGCAACCGGAGTTGCAAATGAAGCCCGGGATTTAAATATCCAGGGCTTTATTTGCATGTTCCCATCTGGCCGTCATTTTTAAATCCCCCTTAGCTCAAACGAACTGCCCGCGGCTACACGCAGCAGTTTAAAGTTAATCTGAACTAAGTCCTTAGTTCGGATTAACTTTAAACTGCTGCGTGTAGCCGCGGGCAGTTCGTTTGAGCTAAGGGGGATTTAAAAATGACGGCCAGATGGGAACATGCAAATAAAGCCCTGGATATTTAAATCCCGGGCTTCATTTGCAACTCCGGTTGCCTGATTTGCCTACCTAGCTCGAATTAACAAGATAGTGTAGACATACCCTTACAGTGTAGATGTTTGGACTCACTCTGGTCCCAGAGGTTACCTAATCCCAAACTCCAGTCAGAGAGTCTCACAGCCCAACTCAGCTGCCATGGGCCAGCCGTGGATACTTTATTGTAGAGAAAACATACACTCTGAGTCTTTTCATTGACTTTAGTGGGCTTCTGGGCTCGGCTCTAATGTCCATGCTTAATGACCCACATTTACAAAGCAGCAGAAGTTTTAACCTACTTTTCTATATGCATTTTTTCCTCTTCATAAAACTCTCATAGTGTTTTCCAGTATTTCTACAACAAAGAAATATCTACGCCATGTTTCAGTGTAACCCTGACTGCTGAAATGGAGTGAGGGTGTGGGAGGAGAATATTTTGAAAGTCATGTGATTTTCTTTTTCCTATTTTTATGTATTCTGTGGTTTTAAAAAAACTGAATTAGACTGCATGCAAAGTACAATGTGTGAGACAAAATCACAATGTAGCATGCAGCCATTAATAAAACTTTTGCTTTGTATAAAAATACTGTGTATTGCATGGAGCAATGGTTTCATAATGCCTCCGGGTATGTCTACACTACCCTCCTAGTTCGAACTAGTGGGGTAATGTAGGCATACCGTACTTGCAAATGAAGCCCGGGATTTGAATTTCCCGGGCTTCATTTGCATAAGCCGGGCGCCGCCATTTTTAAATCCCGGCTCGTTCGAACCCCGTGCCGCGCGGCTACACGCGGCACGGACTAGGTAGTTCGGACTAGGCTTCCTAGTCCAAACTACCATTACTCCTCGTGGAATGAGGAGTAACGGGAGTTCGGACTAGGAAGCCTAGTCCGAACTACCTAGTAAGCAACAGAAGAATCCAAACCATCTTCTGTGGCGAGCCCATCTTGTGAATTTTCCCCATCTCATGTCTCTTCCAATTCAGCGTCCTCAAAATGAATCTCTTGGTTTGGATCTGAGGGTATGTCTACACTACCCTCCTAGTTCGAACTAGGAGGGTAGTGTAGACATACCCTCCTTTGTCGTTATGAGTACCCCTTTTCCATTCAAGTAACTGTTGAAATAATGTGTCCATTTGTGGCCAAACTATACTTGACTGTTATGTGGGCATAAAGAAGAGTGAGATTATGCAAATTACTCTCCTCCCCCACCGTAGACAACTTGTGTATGGACCAAGCAATATTATAGTCCTTGTGTTTTTTTCTGAGAAAAGACTGCTAAAATGGAATAATAACTTGATTTTTTTTTGACCATATGCCTTTATGATACACAGTCATGGCTTTGAAATAAGCCATGTTTATGCTGTTTAGTAGTTTGATTTAGAATTTGCATCGACACATCAAAGTATTTTGTGGAAGCTAGTTTATGTTAGTTGGCAATTTCCATTAATTCTCTCATTTTACATTTTCATGAGATCAAATTTTGCATGTCCTTCCCAAGGTGAAAGTCATTTAAAAAAAAAGCAATAAAGAATTTGGAAGGGTTATGAAGCTGTATATCAGAAATATAGCTCTTATTACATTATATATGTAGCAGACTATAGTATGTAGAGATGTTTTCAGAAATGTTCCATTGTTGGTCTCCTTTCACTTTGGCATAGCTGATATGCCTTGTTTTGGTTTTAGCTCTGAAATGTGAATGTGAAATATAAATTATGGGCTAGATTATGAGTGAACAAGAGATTGGAAGAAGATACAAGAAGCAGCCTCTGCTGTCTGTGACTCTGCATGGCTAATAGCTCCAATGAGCTGTGGAGAACAGGCTGGTCACATGCTAGACTCCCCGAAAAGAGGAATCTTATTGCCTAAGAACTGCCACGCCAGACAGAGGAAAGGAGCTAGAACAGGTGATGTTGAGAGCTCCTGTCTAGTAGAGCAGTGGGATCCCCAAACCATGGTCTGTTGGACCTTTCTGTCCATCCTCTGAGCTCCCACTCACAGAAGCTAACCTTTAGCTCTCCCCTTCTTCCCCCTCCCACAGCCCCAGCTTGCTGTACCCCCAGCCCTGATGCTCCGGGTGGTACGATCAGGGAGCAGGGAGCAGGAGGGATTGGATGGAGCAGGGGAGTCCCAGGTGGGTAGGCAGTGGAGTTGGATATGGGTGACGCAGTTCTGGGGAGCTGGTTAGGGACAGAAGGTTGGATAAGGCAGGGGAGTTCTAGTGGGCAGGCAGGGGATGGGGAGCAGGGAGGGGTTGGATGGGGCAGGAGAGTCCTAGGGGGATGGTCGGGGTGCAGAGGAGGGGGGTTGGATAGGAGGCAGGGGAGTTCCAGAGGACAGAGAGCAGGGAAGGTGGATAAGAATTGGACTCTCCTCCTAGTCCTCCATATAATTTCTGAACCCCAATGTGGCCCTCAGGCCAAAAAATTTGGCCACTGTGTAGTAGAGGAATTGTGGCTGAATGAGATTACTTTCTCCAGGAGCAACTGGTACCATGCAGTTGTTCTTCACCCTACTCCAGCAATAGTGGACAGTGTCTGAAGATTGCAATCTGGCCTAAAAGCCCTTTCACAATATCCTAGTAAATAAGAATTTTCAGCTTTTACAGTATGTAATCCTTCCATCCTCAAAGCACATGACAAACATTAAATACCATAGGTCACACTTTCTGCAGGCATAATTCCTGTAAAGAATTTGTCCCCATAATTAACCCTTACAGTCCCCAGATAGCAGATGATCGATGATTCCCATTTCAAATAGCTACATTACTGATGGAAAACCTGAGGCATGGATTGACTAAGTGACTTGCCTGCTGACACTGAAGAATCAGGCCAGTTCCTGGAGCAGAACTCAGGGGTCTCTGGCTCATTGTTTGCTCAGATCACTTGGCTCCACCTTCCCTCAGCACTATATGGATGCTGATAGGAAACAAGAACTGGGGGAGTGGGGAATTGTTTTTCCAGATTGGTTTCCCTGTTTGTTATGTGTAATGGTAACGTCCCAATAATCTGTGCATGCTGGGGAAGACACGAATAACCATGTTGCATTCTTATGAGACAAAGGAGGACAAAGGACTTGAAAAATGAAAGTGCAGGGTCTCTAGCAGGCAAAATTCTCTGAAACTAGGCACAGACGAAAGGATGAGGCCTTTTGGTAGGGAGCACTTTGCTTCAATTTTACAGTAGCTAGAGAGGAGCTGTTTTTCTCCGGCCTACTAAAATGCAGTGTAGCCCTACTTTAGCATTTACTTTTTTCATATTTGAACTTCCAGAAAGCTCTCAGAATTTAGCACTTATTTTAAGGATTGAATCATGATTTCTAGCTGAACCATTTGACACAGATCTGTTTCTAATTCTGAACCAGGGTGTTAATTTTCAGCCCCAAGGGCTATCAGCTGTTTTAGAGAGTGAGCAGCTGATTCAATTCAAAAGAATTTTTGGCTTCCAAGGCTCTTTCTATTTTTTTTAAATAGAAAGTCTCTGGCATTCACCCTGTTTAGCGATCCTGCTTTACTGAGGCACCACAGGTGATGACATTTTATAATTGAGTCTAGGGTAGTGGGGGAATAAAGCAAACAGCTCCTGTGCTGGAGGA